CTTGAATGTCACAATCCTGTTACTTTTATATTAATCCAAAACACTGCCTATCTCTGTTACATCTATCACTGTCTTTTCCCAAACCGCATTTGAAGAAAATATTTTTAAATAAAATATTTTATAATACAGGGAATCTTCTAGGATGATTATTGCTGAATTTAATACTTGGAGCTCCAGCAGCAAAATTTTACAAGGCAAAGTAAATTTTTCTTACAGCATTTTGGGTGATTTTCCAATCCAGTAAAAAATAGGAGATTAATAGTACTGTGTGGAGCCATGTAAAATGCAAAACAACACTGTGCAATTTCTTCCAGAGAAGTATAGCAAAGCCTGTAATTCCTAGATGTGACACACTAAATGTTACAAGATGAGGCTGACCCTAAGTATTTTAGCAATTAGAGTCACTACTGCAAACTATGCAGGGTCATTTGTGGGCTCAACTTCATTCAAAACAGACAAAACAAAACTTGACAACATTTATTTGTAATTGAAATAAAGCTTCTCAGACTAGCATGCTACTTTAACAATCAACCACTGACTGATGGCAGAGGCCAGGCATTATGAGGGAGGAGGGTTTTTTAGTCTTCTCTTTAGGACTACTACAGTGAGAAGAAGAAAAAAAAATAAAAGACTTACTCACAAATTATTTTTTTAGTAAGACAGGCAATGCCTTCTCCTCTAGAAGGTCGCTGATATAATGGAAAACAAATTACAATACATGCTCAAGGCATCACCTGGCACTGTCATTTTTGACAGTCTCATTTTCATCTTAAAGCTGAGAGCCTTGCAATTTTAAAGTCTTTCAAAAAATTATGCTTTTCATTGTAATCTAGAAATAAAATACCTAAGCAAGGGATGAGGCTCAGATGCTGTGGTACGAAGCTACCAGAAGATTGGCTATGTTAACTAACATGTCACATTGAAAAATAAATTCCTCACTATTTAAGCAGCTTAACAAGTTACAGGCATGAAAAGCACATAATGCTAAAGCACTGCAGTTCTAAACACCTATATGTCGTTTGAAAAATATAAAAGAAGGACAAACCTAAGCCCCAGACAACTGGCTATTTTCCAATTATTCTAGTAACTGAGCTACTAATCATGATTTTCAACCACTATATTATGCTGTCCTAGCATATTTTCGAGAAAGTTGTAGCTTAGTGAGCTGTAATTCTTAGATATAAACATATAACATGAACTAATATAGGAGCTAGGAAATTCTTGTAACTTATGATATTAGGTAACAAGACCGTAAATTCATTAACTATTCATCTGGAGATCTTAAGCTGGTCTGTTTTTCCTGCATATACAGCAGCATGTCCAAGTCCATTTGGGCATTACTTGTATCTTTTCCAGCCTAAATGATTCTCTGATTCTATGTGATGCTGCTTTCAGTAAGCATTAATACTGGCAACAGACTTGGGAACACAGAAAAGCTGAGGTTAAAATTAAGCCACTTCATTGGAATCAAAGTAAGGAAATAAAACATAGCTGAATTTGTGAACTTTACAGGTCTGACTTTACTGCTAGGGGGTTTTATAGTAGAATTGCCTTTGGCTGGAATTTAGGAGCTTGTCTGGAAATTACCTCCTCTCTTCCCTTACACCCCAATTTCACTCACAGAAAAATTTTCTATCTATATTAGCACCTACATCCACCTTTCACTACATCAGCAATCTCACATTTCTCTCCTCGAAAAGAGACACAGAGAAGTGTTATTAACAGTTTTGTCCCAGTACCTATATTTAGAAACAGGTTTGTAAAAGTTCAAAAGTTTGATTCCAACAGAAGACAGCAAAGAAGCCTCTGACACATCTCTAACATCCAAAAACTAACTGAAGTAGGCTTTTCTCTTTCCTAAATTTACAGGCTGTGAGAAAATTATCATTAACCCAGGTAGCAAAATATAACAGAAGAATAAATCACAGTCGTAGCTCAAGTTGGGATTGGGCTGAAATAACTATGCCAAAGGGAGTAGCTCTAATCTGAATCCCAAGGAAGTTTATGAAGAATGCCAGGAAGCATGTCAGTTACAGCAATTATGTATTTGCGATGGGAACTAATACTAGGACAGTTCAGTATGCCAGAAACTAGACAAAATTCATCTTTTGAATTACTGAGCAGACAGTAACCTGCAAAACTGATTAAGTGACCAAAATTCAGAGAAAAACCACATATTTTACTGCCAAATCTCTTCATCCATTTTTGTGTTGAATATTTTTTCAGACCTATAGTTCAAAGAACTAATTGGAATTAATGACAATTTTCAGTAAATCAAAGATAAGGGAACTTTATTTTTCATTAATGAAGTAACCATCAGAAAAATATTGTGCTATCTGTAAATACTTTGTTATCATAACATTCCTTGGGATATGTTTATGAAATCCTGAAAGTCAACAGGACATCAGCACCATCTTTTCAGCTTATACTGCTGTCAGTGGAAGGGACATCAACCCTATCTGTACATATTGTCATGAATATGAGAAGCAACAGTAATGAAGACACAAGTGTCAAGAGATAATAACAAACAAATGTGAGGAGAATGCACTACAACTACGGCAAAGATCAAGTATAGGAAAGCATGTGTGTGTTGAGAAAGGAAAGGTATTTTATTTCCTATCATAATGCAGTATTCAAGGTTCAAAGCTGTACACAGTTCTTCTCCTTGCTGAGACATGTTCTTCCACAAACACAGCTCAGATGCTCAAGTCACAATCCACACCACACATATCTTCCATTTGTATCCCCAGAAAAATGCAAACAGTTCAATTCTACTATTAGGAGTCATGCAGATTTTTCATTGCTTCCTTCTAAAAGTTGGGATAATAACACCAAATTTTAATCCTATACCTGCACTTTCACAATGAGGGGACAGAATTAAGAAAAAATAAAGTAGTGGCTCACAATGTTTGTACACTTCTGGGATTTGGGGATTTTGTTATTTTGAAGAAAACTGTGAGACCTTGTTTCCCAGAATCACTGCAAGACTTTCCCTAACAGACCTCATATTTCACACACTCAGCAGTCGAAAAAATTAACCAGAGAACTACTGGGGTAGGAGAGTGTGTGTGCATAACAAAAAAACCAAACAAACAAAAAGAAATTTGGATTTTATTAAGAAAACTCTTTACTTCCTCTCCTAGCCAGAACAGGGTTAATTTTTGCAGTAGCCAGGAGGAGGCATGGAAAGGACCCAGAGGTTATTCTATACCACCTCCCCATCCAGGAAAGGGGGAAAGGGGTCACTTCTGGATCGAGGAGCATGGTGGCATGGTCGGGTATTGCCGGGGGTTGCTGAGTTGTGAGCATTCCCATGTGAATTGTTCGCCTCTCTCATATACTTTGTTATTAATATGGCTGCCCTTACTATTTGTTTTATTATTTTATTACTGTTTGCAGTAAATTGTTCTTGTTTCAGCTCATGATCTTTACCTTTTGTGCCTCCAATTCTCCTCTCCAGCCCGCTGCAGGAGGGAGAGGGAGTAGTGAGAGAGCAGCGTGTGGTTTGGAGTGTTACAGTGGGAACACTAAATTGGGAAATACTATTCCTAAACCACAACACCTCCCCACAGCAATTCCAATAAATTAGCACTTTTGTGTCAAAGATCTCCTAAGAAGAAGCCAATAACACTGACTTTCTGCTATTATTCTTAGGTCCAATATACAAAGATATCTGCTGGAAAAGCAAGATAAATATGGAAATCTTATTGTACAACCTATTTGTAGTTATATTCTAGAAGAAGGCAAACAATGGGTGCATATATTTGTCAATATCCCAGCAAATTTAACTGGAATTGTTCAAAAAAAGCCTTTCCAGGACATGGAACTGACAGGCAGTGGGGATATAACACCACCACCCCGACTTCCATTTCATGTTGAACCTTCCCTTCCACGCAGCTTTTAATAAAACTCTGCATTTAATATTACATAGTAACACAGACCAATTTTTAAATCTTTCAAACCATGTTGTCACCTGTTACTTATACAGAAAACTTATGTTGTAATTCCTTCGCCTTTTCTAAATTCAGATACTTTTAAAACAGTAATGGATCTCCTGAAATTAATCATGTGTTCCACAATAAGACATTTTTTGCTTGAAGACTGGACAGCACAGTCAAGACCATAGAAAAAGTTTATCACCAGGTGAATAGTTGAGGATCTTTCAATGGAGGAATATTCAGACTGAGGCACAAGGACTCAAGAACTATGCAGAGCTGTATCAGTAGAGTACAGGAAGAAAATATGAACTCACTAAGGTAAACAAGGAAACCAAATGTAGAACAGATAAAAATGAAAGAAAAATGGGAATGAGAAACGAAAAACAAATGAAAGAAAGTTTAAAAACAGAATTATTTGAATTAATAAAATAGAAATCCATTTCATCTTCAAAATGTGTGAACATCAAGGAGGGACTGGCACTTTGCTATAACTATCAAAGGGGGTTAGTTTAGCTGGAGCCACAAGCACACCTGCAGCCAAAAGCTAAGTAAATTTTACAGAAATAAAGAAGTCCAACTCTTCTGATTTTTTAGAACTAGCTCTTAATAGTTGAGTACTTCCTTTCACATGTTTAAAGAGATACTCCTAAAGAAGTGCAAATTCAAAGCACAAGATGTTATTCACAAAGTATAGATGACACTCAGCCATAGGCTGCTCCAACAGCCCTGAGTCAAACACTGAATATCTCACAGAATTAATTCCATTACTTGTCATCCAAAGAACTTACAAAGGCTTTATTGAGAGAACTCCTTACTGTGCATTACAAAGTTCCTGCGCCATTACAATGTTTTTTTTTCCAGCACAGAGTTGATACTATCTCAAGAATAGAGGCAATGTCTCACAAAAAAAACAAAACCAAACAAACAAACCCAATGCTGTCAAAGTCCTTAATTAAAAGGAATGACTGAAACAGTGTGACAAACAGGCAATAAGCAATTTTCAGGACAAAGCTTTCCCATTCCTTTACCTAACCTACTGAAAGGAGGTGCTGATAAACTCACCGTCAGAGCCAGCAGTTTTCCATAAGTGAGGTGGGCTGGGATGTGGTCGCTCTTGGATCGCAGTGACTCCACATACCAGTGCTCTGCTTCAGGCAGCCGGCTCATTCTCATATAGGCTTCTCCTGCAGGGTCAAGCAAATGCTAGTGAGAATGCCACAAATTTCTCAAGATTTCCATAATTTGTTTATCACATAATTTTCTATGTTTTAAATGTGCAGAGATCTAGAAAAAGGCAAAGTGATTTGAACACTTGCAACCGCACACAAAAAACCTTGGAGAAACTTGAGCGAGGAGATTAAATTAAGGCCTTATTAGGGCTGAAATAGCATAGCTGAGATGAAAACTATTGTTGGAAAAGAATTTCCAGAGAGAGCACCACCTGCTAAGCTTTAGTCAGAAGTCTCAAAGTAACAGAAATCTTACCTCATCTACTTTAGAAAAGCTAGTTCTTTTCCATCGCTCTACATTGAAAAGCATGGAATAGCAGGGAGAACATGATAAATGTTTGCATTTAATCATAATAACTCAAGAACCAAAAACTAGGGTAGTATAAGAAAACAGTCCTGAAAGTATATTGATGGGAGGGGCAAGACATTAAAAAACTAATCTCTGAATGCAGCTATATTTGGTCATCTACCACAACTTCTTTAAATTAAAACATAGCATCTATTAGTTTAAAATTGTTACTCTTATGAAGTCACATACAAAATGACTGAAACTGGACATTTTTCAAGGTGAAATCCTTTACAATGAGAAGCTGAGGCAAGTAATGTTGAAGAACAATATATGAATGGAATGTTATATGTTTTTTATATATATATTAGTGTTAGATAATTGTAATAATGAAGTCTCTGGGAAAGAGTTTTGCATACACAGCAAGAAAGTCTCTTTCTTCAAGAAGAAAACAAATTTCTCAAAGGTTGGAGACAATCAATATGAAACAAGTATGTAGTGGTGAAGAATAACAGCTTTCAGATTAACTCTGCACTTACACAGCTCTTTCACGAGGACTCTGGATATAAATGTGCCCTTTCCTGGGTCAATGACACCCTGAAAATGCCACTTGAAGATTCAGGATTTCATCATCCCAGCAGCTGGCCCATTGTTAATAAATGACTAAGTATCTTCCAAAACTTATGAAGACACAGGTTATCAAATGCTACTCCTGGAGGATCAAGAGACTACACCTGACCCAAGTAAAGATCAGCTAAGGCTGTCTCCAGGTGAGTTACAGCCTCCAGTTCTGCATTACATGGAAATTAATAACTGTGAAGGTACCAGGGAGACAGAAGAATCAAAGTTCTTTAATCAAGATTGAAGGCAACTACCACACTATCAAAACTTGGACAAAAAGATTCTCAAAGAGGAGAAATAACTCATAGCATGGGAGCTACTTTTATCTCTTTATCTTGAATATTTACAGAGGCTATGGAAGATTTTCTTCATAAAAGAAAATTGGATAAGGCCAAGTCAGATTTTTTTTTTTATGTCTTTGTCACCAGAGGAGAAGGATACCAGGCAAAACGTGGTATCACGTTTTGAATTTCAGGAGTTAGGGCATGGTGCATGCAAAATGATCAAACTTCAGATCACAGATAAAATAAGCATGATGTAGAGACACAAGGCATGCTAAGCCAAGGTTAAGTGAAACCAGCATGATTGTTAAGAACAAACAGACTTTTTTCAGACAAGCCTGCTGTATTTAGAGGCTTGCATCCCTGTCCAGGAAAAAAGTCTACTTGTTCTAAATCAAAGTTCTACATAGCATTTCGTACTCATGCACTGGTCTGGATATCTGATATCCAGAAGCACTTAGGTAATTCTGCTGCTGTTTAGGGCCAAAAAGACAGAACAATTCCCTGCAAAAAATCCCAGGCTAAATTAAAAAAAAAAGTCCAAACAGGTAAGAAATCCCAAAAGAACATGAACATCACATTCAGTGACAGTAACATCATGTGATCTTTTCACTATGTCAGCAGTCACAAGTAAGTGACACAACAATATACTTTATCTGCACAAAACAAGGTCATTAAGTGTAGAAAGGACGGAAGAAGCCAGAAGTCAAGCTTTATGCTCCCCTCAACTCCTCTCCCAAGCTGCATGCTTTAATGTAGAATGTTTAATTACTTGATTGCTTACTATTTCTCCCAGAGGCCCCTGCTTCATTAGCATACAGGAAATGAGGAATCCATATTGTCCTTTTCTTTAAGTGGAAAATTCCACCCCAACCTGTTACAGCTTGGCAGAGTTTCAAGTAATTAACAACAAGATGCTTTAAGAGTAATGTAAGCAGCCATAAGTGATGGAACTATTATCTCTGGGTAGTAAAGGCTGAACGCACTGCCAAATATCAAATGGATCCAAGGTTCTTATCTATCTTTCATGATGGATTCTGATATAAGAAGAGATTTAAAACCTTGGAGTAAATGGAAATTCAATTTTTAATAGGTTTTAAGAGCTCAACGACTTCACAAATGAAACTCTTACAACTTTGAGGACATTTCTGAGCGGGGGGGGGGGGGGGGGGGGGGGGGAACTAGAAACAAAGCTACAATATGTCAATCTAAATACCAAACTGTAAAGAAAGAAACTGTATTTCCCTGAACTTCGCAGATGAAAACTGGGAGGAGCTGTTGAAGTCCCTGAAGGCAGGGAGGTTCTGCAGAGAGACCTCAACAAACCAGAGAGATGAGAGATCACCAACCATATGAAGCTGACAAAAGACAAGCACCAGATTCTTCACCTGGGATGAGGCAGCCCTGGACGTGCAGGCAGATTGGGGAGTGAAAGGCTGGAAATGCAGTGCTGCATAAAGGGTCCTGGCTGATGACATGTTGAACATGAGTCAGCAGTGCCCTGGCAGCCAGGAGGGCCAACCCTGTCCTGGGGACATCAGGCACAGCGTGGCCAGCTGGGCAAGGGAGGGGATTGTCCTGCTCTGCTCTGCACTGGGGCAGCCTCACCTTGAGTGCTAGGGGCAGTTTTGGGTGCCATGATATAAGAAAGATCTTAACCTATGAGAGAGTCCCCAACAGAGGACAATCAGGATGGTGAAGGGCCTTGAGGGGAAGCCGTATGAGGAGCTGCTGAGGTCATCTGGACTGTTCAGCCAGGAGGAGACTGAGGGGAGACCTCATGGCAGTTATGACTTCATTTGGAGGGCAAAAGGAGGGGCAGGCACTGATCTCTTCTCTGTGGTACCCAGTGATGGGACCTGAGGGAATGGCCTGAAGCTGTGTCAGGGGTGGTTGGATATCAGGATATCAGGAAAAGGTTCTTCACCCAGGGGATGGCTGGGCACTGGAGCAGGCTCCCCAGGAAAGTGGTCACAGCACCAACCCTGACAGAGTTCCAGAAGAGTCTGAACAATACTCTCAGGCACATGGTGTGACTTTTGGGGATAGTGCTGTGCAGGGCCAGGACTTCGACTTAATGATCCTTGCGGGTGACTTCCAACTCAGCTGATTGTGTGCTTCTGTGACTCTTTGCAGGTAATTCTCTATAGCTGAACATTTTTTTCTGAGGAACCGGTATCAAGAATTCCTATATTATAAGTAATTAGAACATAGATTGCTACAGAAGGAAGCACTGTTAGGGGGTCTGTTATAAATGCCATCTTGTAAATGAAGAAAAGAAAAAGTTGAAAATTGATAACGGCTCCTAGCACTAGAATAGAATAGAATAGAATGCTATGGTCTACCATAGAATAGAATTCTATGGTCTGGAATGATCTTATAGATCATTCTATTCTCTACCAAAATAGAATCAAGCAACAGGTAACAGAACCATTAATTCACTGAAGTAAATTTATGCATTAGGCTGATGCAATTTAATAATACCTATGCCAACTTGAGATAATTTTCCATCAAAATGTCAGAGAAAACATGTATGGATTGATTGCTGTAATTCAGGATGCATTTGCCTGTCTGAGATTAAAATAAGAAAAATAATATTTGCCAATATTTACAATCATACATTGTTAAAAACTTGGAACACAAATGATTTAGGGATTAGAAAGATAACAAGAGTGTCCATTGGCAGAAAATATGCAAACAAACGTGCAAGCAGATTTCTATGTTTACTTTAACAATTACTTCTTTTGCAAAATCTTCCAAATCTCATGCTAAAATTCTGAAAGATCACACATGGACACTTTATTAATAAATCTTGTCAGATCTGTAAAGTTCAACAGAGGTAACAATGACAGAGAAAGAAATTCATGGCAGTGAAAACCTTAAGCTATAAATGTCCCTAATCAAACACACAGACATGCAGCATTGCCTGCACAATGAGTGGTGGTAATAAATTCAATCAATGACTGGAGTAAAATGAGACCAATCAGTATTTCAAAATTGTTTCCAGCTGCACAGGGGTTAGCTCAGTTAATATTTTCTGAGTTTTATGAACCCATTTCTTGTCTTATTCTACTAGAAAGCTCATAGATTATTTAACTATAATTCTCATTTACTAATGTAGCGCAGGAAAAACATTAATATGCAACTGAAACACCATTTAAAGAAGTGCATACTAAGTTCATGGACATTTCTATTAATACTTTCAAAGAAATCAGAAACGGGATACCTTTTAGCTAGATTTTCACCACCAAAATTAAATCCCTATACTCAAGTGGATTTTATTTCCCACAAAGATAGACTACTTGCAAAACTACCATTCACCAATAGGATTTTCCCATATTTCCTCAGACTATTTGGAATTTAAAAATAATACTTCAAAATAAAATTAAACAAAATCCCACAAAACGAATAAACTAGCCAAAAACTCACCACTAAAATCATACCAGGATATTAATTATATTTAAATATATTTGATTAACATAGCCTTAACAATAATTAACATATAATTAAAAATAACTAAAACTCCGTAACCACCATAATAAAAATTAAATATTTATATTAAATAATAATGCTCATAAAAGATTAGCTTGCTAGCAGCCATTTTCCCTAAAGGCTTATATTTTACTTGATAATTAAATGGAATGTGTTTGTAAAAAAAATAAATTTTAAAAAAGAACACAAGATTTTCCGACACATACCACATATTGTTAAAAAGCAAAATGAGGTAGCATTTATATGAATGTATGTTACATGGTTCTAGCTTAACA